CGGAATAGCAGCAAGAGGACGTAGAGACTCATACTCAAGCCAGCGCTGGGTCAAATAGCCATAATAATCCTGAACGGTCATATCTCCCTGCCGAGCATATGAGAGCTCCTGAGAAAGCTCATAAACACGAACTCCCCGTCCTGACTGAGAATACATCTCTGATAATGCGCTCCATAGCTTCGGAACAGAGCTATGAAACTGGTGGATCCTGCAAACAAAGGGCTCCATTGAGCCAAATAACCATCCAAGAATGGCACAGTTTTCAAAGAACCACGCAGAATATCCAGGGTCGGCATCAGCTGGCTTTGGGTGAGATCCTGCCAGCCAACCAAGCTTCCCTACACGGCCTAAGAAAAGCTGGAATGAGCGTGACCACTCAGCGAAGTTACGACCATTCAACAATTGTGCCGTAACTTTTTGAGAGATCATGCCCGGTAATGCTGGTAATGCAACTGTGCTAGTAGGCACTGTATACTGGTCAAACATAAAAGTGGAAGTACCCATAGATGTCTCAACGGTAGAGGTGTCAACAGTAGGGTTCTCAAGTCCCTCAGTAGTAGCCATATCAACAACAATACTAGGGTACCCGTGACAGAAAAATAACTCTAAGATAAATAGAAGAATAAAATAAGGGAGAACAATATACCTTCAGTCGAACAGTAGCGACAAATAAGGAAGGTCCAAAAAGCTCCCAAATAATCAAGTCACGGTGCCCAGAAATCCAATAAATATAAATGATCTACTGCATCAAGAGCAGATCAATAGACGGAGAAGAAGATTTAACCCCTCATAAAAAAAAAGGATCCTAGATACTGCAACCTGGTAGCACTATGACGAAGAGTGCAAAAGATGAAGTTAAAACGAGAAACACGACCCGGCAGTGGGCTGAGCAGTGACCCAACAGTAGGCTAGGTGGTTAGGCGTCGTGTTTATTGGGCAGTGGGTTGGGTTACTGGGCTGGTCTAGTTTGGGACTATATTGGGTTGGTATGGGTTTATCAGTGGACTGGTTTGATGTGTGGGCTATATTGGCTGGTCTATCGGTGTGGTTATTGAGGCAGTCAATCGGTGGTTGGTGATATGGAGGCAGTCGGTGTGGTTATTGGGCAGTATGTCGTGTTTATCAGTATGTTTATTGGGCTATATTGGTTGGTCTGTCGGTGTGGTTATTGAAACAATCAGTTGGTGGTTGGTGATATGGAGGCAGTCGGTGAGGATGGTGATGTGTTGGAGGCAGTCGGTGGTTTAATATGTAGGCTAAAGGGGGTTTTTGCTGGTAGGTGGGTCGCTGCAGTGGCTAATTTGGAGCAGTCTAAAGGGGTTTTTCGCTGGTAGGTGGGTCGCTGCAGTGTCTAATTTGGAGCAGTCACGGTGGCAGTGTGGTGGCCGGTGGCTGTCAGCTGCAACGTGGAGGAGGGGCTAGGGTTAGGGTTACAGTTGTGGCTTTGATACCAACTTGGAATGAATGTGTGTGAAAAAGGGATACTCAAATTAAGAGTAGAGCCCCGTATATATATCCAAAAATAATACAGAGTGACTTAAACATCCTTGTAGTTTAGACAAAATATAAAAATCTTAGTAAGGGTAAAAAAGGGAAAAGAAATCCTAATAAACCTAGACTATCTATACTCCAACAATATGTTGACGACATGCTTATTGTGGGTCAAGATTCTACCAAGATTGACAAATTGAAGATGGAGCTAAGCAAGTCCTTTGCCATGACTTAGGACCGGTAAAACAAATTATTGGTATGAAAATTCTTCGTTATTGAAAGAGTGGATGGCTTTGGTTGTCACAAGAGAACTACATTGAAAAAGTGCTTGAAAGGTTCAAAATGGACAAAGCAAAGTCGGTTGGATCTCCACTTCCAGGCCACTTCAAGCTTAGCTCAATACAATGTCCTATAAGTGAGAAAGAAAAGGAGAAAATGCTGAAAATTCCTTATGCTTCAGTCGTTGGTTGCTTGATATACGCCATGGTTTGCATAAGGCCGGACTTAGCTTATGCAGTTGGTTTGACTAGCAAATTTCTCTCTAATCCAGGAAAAGAACATTGGGCAGCTGTTAAATGGATTATGAGGTATCTCCAGGGTTCTTCCAAGGTGTCTTTATGCTTTGGAAATGGCAAGCCTACGCTGGAGGGATTCACAAATGTAGACATGACTAGTGATGTTGATTTCCAAAAATCTATATCGGGTTACTTACTCACTTTTGTAGGTGGGGTTGTTTCATAGCAATCAAAACTTCAAAAATGTATTGCTTTGTTAACTAGTAAGGCTGATTATATAGCCGTAACAGAGGCTAGAAGATGTTATGGATGTGAAGATTCTTACATAAATTGGGCTTGAAACAAGAGAGGTATGTTCTTCATTGCGATGGTCAAAGTGCAATTCACTAGAATAAGAATTCTACTTTCCATTCAAGATCCAAACATATTAATGTGCGATATCATTGGATACATGATGTTTTTGGAATTGAAATTGTTTCATCATGTGAAAATCCATACCAATGATAATGCATCGGATATGATGACGAAGGCCTTACCCAAAGACAAGCATGAGAAGTGTAGTGTTTCAGCGGGTTTGGTCGAGTCCTCCGCATAAATCGGGAGGGGGAGATTTGTTGGGTGTCCCTTTTTATGCCTTCTCATTGGGACCCAACTCAAATTAAAGACATGTGCATGTGTGCATTGGAACTATGCATTGGAAAAGTCTAGCACAAGCCAAGAATTGAAGACCTTTTGTCTTCCAAGTTGCCTGACCGGTTTTACACTTTGAGTGGGAAAAATCTGTAGAAAATATTGAGAGTGGACAGCTTATTTTGTGAGAGAAAAGTGGAAGACAATAGCCCCCTTCCTGCTCTTGTTCAAGACTCATTTTTACTCCGATTGAGCTGAAAATTCAGGGACATATTCCTCACTTCCACAGCTAGTTTCTACTGTTTTGGGTCGTCAATCGGACTCTTCTACAGCTAGATTTCAATGACAGAAGTTTAACCACTTCGGTGAGATTTTTCTAATTGCTTTGTGTTAAAATTCATATGAGGGTGAAGTTTTTATGTTTGAAAGCCAAGGAAATATTTTTTCTCTTGATGTTTGATATTTCTAATTGTGACTAGAAGACTTGGAATCCCACTTTCGTTGATAGTGGAGAGATTGGACCAAGTTTGGTCCCGTGGTTTTTTCCCCTCGCCTTGAAGGGTTTCACGTTAAAAATTCTTGTGTTTCTTGTTATTGGTTTGGTTTGTTTATTGTGCTTGTTTGTAGTATTGGTTATTCTCTATTGATTTGCACATTGAGAGAAAGTCACAAGTTTTCCTTGGAGGGAGGGGAGAAACTTGATGAAGTATGAACTAGGAACATTTAAAACCTGCATGCCTAATCATATGACAAATCAAGACGGATCAAAATGTCTGTATAGAAGATATTTTAATGTAAATTGTGGATTGACAAGAAAAAAAAAAGCAGCACAGATTTTACCATACCTTGGGCTTTGTCACAGTAAAATTCATTGTTTCTGTCAACTAGGCATAGCCCTCCTTCAAGTTTACACTTAGAACACTTATCAGAAACATGCAATTGAAAATAGAATTCGTAAGTTAATACTGCAAACGGATCACTGTAATTTGGATTAGAGTTGGGTTCTAACCCATTTTGTGGCAGCAGTAAAACTGAACAATGAGGTGGAGGAATCAAGCCAGGCATAGATGGATATGTGTAGTAGATAGAGAATTCAGGACAGCCTTTGTAACTGTAAGAACTGTTGAAATATTTATCTGCCTGCCGGGAAAGTTCATGACTATTGGTGCATTTGAAAAAGGTGAGATTGGGGGAGATTGTAAACGAAAGAGAAGGAGAGTTGGGAAGAGTGAGATTATTGAAAGAATCACAACTTCGGTACTTTAAGAGATGTTCGCGCGCTTGGTCAATAACTAGAATGCTTTTACTTTGCAAGATTCTTCGAGCTTGATACCATTCTCCATTCTTCTCCAGTTGGACAGTTGGAACTAGTTTATCACAATCTAACATGCATAACCCGCAATCAGGTTGCTTGAAATTGGTGAAAGGGAAGCTAATCAAACCAAGAGATCCACACTGGAATGACACTGGACAACCATGGGAGGATTGGTTCATTTCTTGAGCTGAGGGAAGGAGCACAAGATGAGAGAGAATAAAGAAAGCGAAAAAGCTGCAGGAGCTGACCATACTGAATCCACTGTAAAGAAATACTGTTGTCAACAAGAACCAACACAAAGAGGAATTAGACTCTTATGTTGTAAAGACCCCAATTAGTATCCTTTTGATTTTGGTTTTGTTTCTTCACAATATATTTTGACCTTCATCCTTCAAACACACCCATTGACAGTTGGGGCTCTTCTGAATTATCAGTACGCATATTAATTGACGGAGTTTCCCACTCACCTACGAACATAAATGAACAGCTGTAGAAAGAATAGTCTTCTTCACTCTTTAAGAGGTATCTCTTGAAATTTGCAACCACTAGAAGAATAACACTCAAGTCTAGGAGGAAAACTACGGTACCAATTTACATAAATTGTACCAAAATTTACTATTTTTTGAAGTCAAATTAAAAGATCGAAAGATCGAAGTATAACTGAAAAAATAATAAAAATCACAACTTGTAAAGTTATTATTTTTTGAGTTCAAGTTACATTTTTTAAATCTGAAATTATAATTAATTAGAAGTGTTTGTGATCGATCAAATTACCTCAAATAGTTGTAAACGCAATTTTTTTTCGATACCATATAATTATCCCAAGTCTAGAGCCATTGAATTTCTTAAAGGTCAATTGTAATGTTTTTTTTTTTACTTTTGAAGTTCACGAGAGAGAGAGAGAGAGAGAGAGAGGAACTTACTAGTACTGCTGCAATACCGTGCATGAGGCCTATCGGGAGGGTAACACCTGAAATGGTAGCTAATCAGATCAAAACCACAACGCCCACCACTTTCCTCTCACAAACTGCAATCAGCAACTGTCCACTTCAACAAAAGCCTTTTCTCAGCAGCCCTACATAGTCCCCAAATCCATAGCTTCCACCACGCACTTCCACTGGCGCCACCACCTCCGTGCCACACTCTTTCAATGCCAAACTCAGATTCCGCTTATCCTGAAACATAGCTAGTTCCCACCCACTTCCATTCCCAGCATCACAATTGATCATATTGACACTGTACCTGTAAAAAAAATTGTTTCACGCAGATGTAAAACTGAACAGGTTAGAACAAATCAACTTTCAGAATAAAACAAAGTTAGAACAAAAGTCGGCACATGAGGTGAACAACTACATGACGAATAAGTGACTTACCTACATTTGTTCTATCGGGTGAAATTGACGAAATGACTTAAAAAATTAAAAGTTTAGGGACCATTTTAAAATAGAAAGCAAAGTTTAGAATTCCTAACAGTACCTCAAAAGTTCTTCTGGAAATGGCAACGAACAATTTGATAGTAAAGCCAGGTTTGTAACATTATTATCAAACTGGAACCGATCATCTTCAAGTATTGTATCAGCTAGTTGAGGAAGGCAGCCGAAATTTGAACCGCACACTGCAGCGTTGCATACGCTAAGAGAGTGGGTGCTGTAAAGAATTTCTTTTACTATGTAGTCATTTATGGTATATGAAATATTGGGTAGCCATTGTTGCTGCAAGTGAGGTCGAATCCAGGGTATCTACAAAATGGTTTTTGCAGACCCTTAATATAGAAGGGGTAGCTTATGTTTAGGCCATCCCCACAGTGTTCAGGCACACAGGCTTCATATTGGCTGTCTACACAAAAAGATTTTCTGGTAAGAGGATGAAAATAAGTATGCAAATATTTAAGGCTGGTATGAGGGTGGAGAAGCTGTGTTGCTTCATTTGGGTAATCTTGAAGTTTTGTGGGACATAGAGAGATAATGAAGATGATCTAATTCAAGGTACAGATGCACAGAGAGAGAGAGAGAGAGAGAGAGAGAGGAGAGAGTTTTTTTTTTTTTTTTGACCCAAGAGGAGAGAGAGTTGAGTAGAGAGAAAAAGCACGACTTATAAAGCACAAAAATAGTTAAAATTTATCTAATCAAAGTAAAATTTCATACTATAATAGATGCTCTTCAGTTATTTTAAAATAAATTTTGTTAGAGTATCACTGTAATAATTTATAAACATATTTTATATTATATTTTCTCTTTTCCTCTCCTTTCTTCCATTTTCTCTCTTTCTCTTTTTTATTATTCCCAAAAATAATAATAAAAAGGAATGAGAAATAATATTTAAAGGAGTAGTTAAAAATATAGAAAATTTGTTGGAGTATATATTGAAAAAGTGAGTAGTTAAAATAGAAAAAATTATTTTTTGAGTAGCTAAAATACAATTTGTTCTTTGAGATGCCCTTGGGTTGTTTGGTTAGCTGAACAAAATGGATTGAACAAAAAATGGGTTGTTTGGAAGCCGGTACATCTAATTAGACTTATTTATCAAAAAGTACATAAAACAAAATGTGAGTTAAAAAGACATAAATGCTCATTTTAAGGTCATTTAATTCAAAATCTCTTATCTTTAATGCATCTTGATTCATGTGTGTTTGTTAGTGCATTAAATACGTATTTATATGTATTAACAAACACACATGAATCAAGGTGCATTAAATATAAAATTTTTTGAATTAAATGACCCTAAAATGAGCATTTATGTCTTTTTAACTCACATTTTGTTCTATATGTATTTTTTTTCAAATAAGTCTAATAAAGTGTACCGTCTTCCAAAGAACCCTTTTAAATTGAAGACTTAAGAGGGTTGCATTGAAAAAGATGAGATTGGGTCAATTTTATATTGGAATATACTACATAACCCAAATAAAATTTAAAAGTTATAATTCAAATGCATATCATTCTTTAGATGAATGTGAAATGAGTGGGCCCTATTAAAAAAATTGAAATGACTCACTCATCTGAGAAATAATATGTATTTAGGTTACAATTTTTTAGATTTTATAGCATTACTCTTTTAAATTTGAGATTTGGTTTGCACAAGATAAAAAAAATGGAATTAATTTTTATTTATCTAGAATACCCTTCTCTCTTTATGTTTATATACATAAACATTTATAGGTATATTATCCATTTATATTTTTTGATGGTGGTGATAATAATAGTAACTATTATAGCAATAATTATTTATTTGGCTACAGTGGAATTCATCACTCTCACCGGTTATGGTGACGACGATTGTTGTGGTACATATATAGGCTAGGGTGGAGTTGGTGGAAGGAATGGCTGGCGTGAGATGTTTGAAAATTAAACTTGGTGAATATGTTATGAAGGTATTTTTTGCCTTTCTGAACCATTTTTTCATTCCTTCACTTTGAATCTCACTCTCCCTTATCCGATTCCATTATACCCCACATGGGTTGCTAAGTTGATTGATGAGGTGAGGTCGGGTTTAATTTTTTGAAATAATACCAAACTGTTTCTCACATGCAAACATAAGATATTCTAAAATTATTTTCATTTTATTGAATAATAAATCAACAAACAAACGGCCCCTGGAGTTTGCTTGACTAGATACATGAAGTCAATGCCTTATCAAAAATGTGTTGGCAGTCCAATTCTGGCTCCATCCAGTTCAAAAAAGAAAAAAGAAAAAAGAATACTTGACCTTCAAGATTGATGATCATACAAACACACTAAATTACAATGCAGACTGACAATAAGAGGTTGATTCTATAGTTGAAAAATCTGCTGGTGGTCTTGAGGGAGAAGACAAAAAAGGCTTGGGAGGAATTTGCAAGGTGTCTAAACTCCCTTCTAACATTTCCACAACTCTAGTCATCGATGGCTGATTTGAGGGATCAGTTTGTATGCACCACAGACTCACTATTATCATCTTCCTAGCACTTCTTTTTTCCTCATCATTTATAATATCCCGCAATCCAATGTATCCATCTACTTCGAGTTCTTTGTATATCCAATCAAGAAAGTAAATTTCACTGGCTCCCCCAACAACCTCAATGTTTTTTCTCCCTCTAACCATTTCTAGAACCATCATTCCATAGCTATACACATCTGACTTGTAAGAGACTGCTCCAATGTATCTACAAAATACTTCTGGAGCAATATACCCAACTGTCCCTCTGGCAGTCACCATGGATATGATACTCTCGTTTCTGGGGCATAGTTTAGCAAGACCAAAGTCAGAGATCTTTGGGCAGAAGTCTTCATCTAGAAGAATGTTATGAGGCTTTATATCAAAATGCAAGACTCGTGTGTTACAACCATGATGTAAGTACTCAAGTCCACGAGCAATGCCTATTGTGATTTGGTACAATTTCTCCCGTCCCAGTTGACGATCTGGCATGGAACTTCCATCACATATGAATTTCTCAAGGGATCCATTAGGCATGACCTCATAGATGAGAGCTCTTTTGCGACCCTCAAAACAAAATCCCAGGAGAGTTACAATGTTAACATGTGAAGTCCTACTAATACTTACAACCTCATTAATGAATTCTTCTCCAGAACCTTTTGATTCACTTAAAACTTTCACTGCCACCAGACTGCCATCATGTAACTTGCCTCTGTACACAAGGCCAAAGCCTCCTTGACCCAGTTTAACTTTGAAGGAGTTGGTCATCTTCTTAACATCCAAATAACAGAATCTTTTTGGAGCCATGGATCCATATCTCTTTAGAAAGGCTCCTAAAATTTTGGAGTTCTTCGTTTTCTTCTTCAATAAGAACATAAGTTTACCTAGGGAGAATTTCCTTCTGAAGCAGAAGACTGTAGCTACTAAGATGCCAGTTCCAACAGCAGAAGCAGCTGCAATCACTGAAAGGAGAAAACAGCATTATGCAGTATAGGATAATAAATTTTCCAGTGTTGAAAAATCTGATGACAAAGGTACAAGGAATGCTTATAATATGCTTTGAACCCCAAAAATAAACACCCCATCCCCACCCCTTTTTCTGTTTCTGCACCCCCTTGATCCATGCAACCACATAGGGCAGGTTGCCATTGTTGTCTGCTGATTTCTATATCTAATTGCTTTAATTTATGATTGTTCTAATGTCATCTTGTATGATATATTGGTTGCTATTCCTGCGCCATTCTAGGAACCATATTCAAACTTCAATCAATGTAAGTTTGATCCCTTTAAATTTTTCCTTAACTTGTGGTCCTAGGCAGGGTTTGATTGCGTTCTAGTGATATAGGTTTATAGAACGCCTAGTCCCCTCGATTTGTTCTGCTATATATTTGCTGAGAACAGAGATGGAGAACATAAAACTGGGAAAGCTCTACTTAAGAACGATATTTGAATAGAGATGGAGAACATATATTTGCGTTCTAGTGATGCATTTGTACAATGTGAGATTTCAGGAGATCATAAAGGAACTAGGAGAGTTGGGAAGGCTCAGATAATTGAAAGCATCACAACTTTGTTTCTACATGTAAACTTGAAGCAGCAGGAATCTTTCGCTCTCTCTGCAGAGCTTTATTGCTCCCCCAGTGGTGACTATTCCCTCAAGTGAATACCCATATAGCCTCTATTCCACCACCCTCTACTGCAGACATCTTGCTCCCCCTTTGCCATGACCCTCTTCGCCTACACAGCTCCCCCTCCACAAACCTGGTAACCACCACTCTCTTCCCTGCTGCCTTGATATACGGCAATTTGACAACCCAACATTAAATTTTATTCTCTGTCCAAATCCCACAGCCACCTGTCCGGTTCTTCCCTCCTCCCCACCCCTCCCCCTTGATTCAAAATCTCCTTACATCCACACCACTTACCAGCTGCATAATCTGTACAGCTGCGTGTCTTTAAGAGACTAGTTGTTGGATCCTTGTTATGCCCAGAATCTGATTGATCAATGCACAAATTGAGGGCCACGTGTTTGGGAGATTATGGTGTGTGTATGCGCTTGTCTTGTACAGCAGATTTCTTAGACGCAAATTCCAATCTCATTGCTGCCGAATGTCGGTAGTAGGTACTCGTGCTTTACAGTTTGTCTCTTGGGTAAACGACTTAGTGCATTACAGTTGTAATGGGTCTTTTAACTGAGCTAGCCAGCACCTATTGACCCATGATTGTTTGCAAGATTCTTGCTAGATCTTGGTCATGCTTGAAGATGGGCCGACTCTTCATCCATTTTGTGTTTTTGACAGTAGTGAACAGAACAATATTTTTGGGGTGTGATAAATAGACTTGTGAGTTGAGCAATTCTCTAGTGAAAATTACTCTATGTGCCTTCTAGTAGGCTTGCCTTGAAGGTTATTGTGATGTCCTATTTTGTTGATATATTTTGTGGAGGTGTCTCTTTAGAAACTCCTTTGTGTGCCCCCATGTCATATTTGAGCTTTATTGTATATCAATTTTTTGGATTAATCAAATTATTTACCTTTCGAAGAAACATATTTTTAACAAAATAATATTTCAAAATGAGTCTTATATCTTTTTCCATGTAATTTTATATTGTTTCTCTCTCTAAAACAAATCAATCTGTTGCACTTTAGTCCTAAACTTTATGGGATGTGCATTCCTGAATTACAGAAAGGTTAAGTGTCACTCACTCAAACCACATGGAGATAAAATATAAATTATACTCAACAAAATAACATCTTAAGCTTTGATTTGAAGTCATGGTTACAAAGACAATAAGAAAAAGGGGGGAAGATCTTGATCAACTAATGGCAGTGAATAGAAGAAACCTAAAGCATAAAGAAGAATTATGCAAGGGACAAATGGTTCAGGGACAAATAATAGGTGAAATGAAACTTTGACAAAGTATGAACAAGGAACATCTAAGACCTGCATGCCTAATAATCACAAATAAAAAGGATCAAAATATTATACGTAGAAGATGTTTACTGTGAGCTGTGGATATATAGAAAAAAAGCAGCACAAATGTGGCCATACCTTGGGCTTTGTCACAGTGAAATTTATTCTTGCTGTCAACTACACATAGCTCTCCTTCAAGTTTACATTTAGAACACTTATCAGACCCAGGCAATTGAAGAGAGAATTCAGCAGTGAATAATGCAAATTGATCACTGTAATTTGGGTTCAAGTTGGGTTTGGACACCATCTGTGGGTGATGTAGAACTGAAGGATTAGGAGTCGTGATAGGATTAGATGGATATGTGTAGTATACGGAGAAGTCAAGAGAGTGTTTGTAACTGTAAGTACCATTGAGATATTCATCTACCTGCCAGGTATGTTTAGGACTATTGATGCATTTGAACAAGATGAGATTGGGGTTGGGGGAGATTGTAAATGAAATACGAGGGTAGTTGAGAGGAGTGACGTTATAGAAGTATGAGTTGGGAAGTGTGATATTATTGAAAAAATCACAACTTCGTGAATTTAAAAGCTGATCAAGCACTAGGTCACCAACTAAAATGCTATCAGTGATTTGCAAAATGCTTCTAGCTTCATACCATCGTCCATTCTTATCCAGTTGGACGGTTGGAAATGGCTTTTTATCACAATTTACCATGCACAAACCACAATCAGGTTGCTTGAAACTGGTGAAAGGGAAGCCAATCAGACTGAGAGATCCACATCGGAATGTCACTGGACACTCAAGGTAGGATTGGTTTTGTTCTTGACCTGAGGAAAGAAGCACCAGATGAGAGAGAACAAAGAAAACAAAAAAGAAGCAGGAGCTAACCATTTTAAATCCACTGTAAGAACAAACGCAATTATCAACCACCACTGCAACAAAGAGGTATATAACTCCTGTTATAAAGAGTCCAATGGAGGAAATTCCCACTCACCTTCCTCCTTGACCAGCAATAGGTAGTCCAGATTTCTTGACTCTTAAATGTCTTTGAACTTTCCAACCATTGACTGTCCAAAAAAAAAAAAGACTAACGTAGTGACCAAATGATGTGACATTACCATAATTGTGTTGTTAGTTTCATTTTTATACATTTGAATTTCAAATGTGTTCTATTATGGTAATGCCACATCATTTAATCCATATTTTTGGTCCCCTTTTTTTTTTTATCGGTGTAGCACTACTCTTAGGAAAATAAGCCATCTATTGCAGAAAATCTAGTCCAAAGGCTTGCAGTTTTTCAAAGGGTTAGTTAAATTTTTGGTAAATCACATCTAGACCCCTGTATTTGTCAATAACTCGTGCAGACACCTCAGGTAAGACAATTTACACCAATACCCATTGTGAGTTTTGTAAGAGTGTAAAACATACACCTCTATCGTTATGATCTGGTTGAGGCGCTGTTAAAATCATATTATCTCAACATAATTTTGAAATGAAATTCCCAATCCATCAGATAAAACTCACCAATTTTCATCCCCCACAAAACCACAGCTAAGCAAAATCCACCACAAAAACCATCAAACACCACGGCCGCCTCTATTATGCCATGTACATGATTGAACCATATCCACCAGTACCATAAGAGAGATCCCACAGGTTTTTCCCATGTACTTTCAGAAACCACCACCACCATCAGCAACAGAAACCACCACTGTCAACTATGTTATTAATCACAAGTTGAACCAAAAAATAAAGCAATAACACAGACTAATCCAAAATTCCCAAGTTGAACTGGCACAGTCAACACATCAACAACAAACCTACAGAAAAAAATTCATCATAAATCACAGAATTAACACCAGTCACAGACCCCATAAACGATATCACTGGAAAATAATCATTTGAAACAATCAATTCACATGTCAACAGAAGCATTCCATCATGTATCAAGTGTCTTCACAAGGATTGATAGATCATTATCCTATGCTTCAGATTGTGACACATCATATCCAAACCAGCAACTGTGCACCTTCACGGATTGAGCCAAGCCTCAGCTCTGAGCTATTACTCTCAAAGAACACGTGAACACAACAGTAACAGAGGCACTAACCAACTGTAACAGACGCACTAACCAACTGTGCCAGCTGGAGTCTGTTAGGCAGCTGAACTAGATTAATCACATGGCAATAATTACTGTTATCTTATGTATGAATACAAAATGTATATCAAGTGAATAATGAGAATGAGAGCTGAGACTCTGTGTTTTTGGCTTCTGTTTGAGAGCAGCTCTTGCATGGTATCAGAGCCTTTAAGGAGAAACCTCCGTCTCTGCCATGACAAATTCCTCATCTTCTTCTTCCTCTACAGCTATGTCTAGTTTTCCTCAATCTCAAATCGTCTTACCATCGAATATCTGCAATCTTATATCACTGAGATTGGATTCCATGAATTGCATCCTTGGAAACACCAATTCTCAACAATTTTGAAAGCATGGAAATACCAACTCTCAACAATTTTGAAAGCACACTCTCTTCTAGGCTATATAGATGGAACAGCTCCTTGTCCAGCAAAGTTCATTGGCAATCAATCTGGCCAGATTACATCAGAAAACAGTGAAGAGTTTCTGAAATGGACTACTCAAGATCAAGCACTGATCAATGCAACATTGTCTCACACAGCACTTTCCTATGTTGTTGCCTACTCAACCTCTCAAGAAGTCAAGGAAGGATCACTTGTCAAATTTGCTTCAAGAAAGGACTCTCAGCTGATTGCTATCACAGAATGGATTACACTTATCAGAGTCGAGCTCCTCCATCCAAGCTAACTGGTTCTGCAATGATTGCCTAATACAATACACCTCGTCCTAATCTAGACATTTGGATCATTGATTCTGGAGCCAGTTCACACATTACTTCTGAATTCGAAAAAATGAATATTAAGGATCAGAGACTGTTTCTGCAATGTTTGCCTCTCACAATACACCTAACCCTAATCCAGGCATGTAGTGTTTGATGCAAATACTTTTCCCTTTGCCTCTTTATGTCATTTTTAATGTCAACTCCTCCTCCTACCACAATTTCTATTCTTGGTCCACACCCTTCCTCTCTCAGTTCAAATTCTGAATCTTCAGTTTCAGCAATATCTCAACCTAGCTCATCCAATAATACACTACTTCCTTTTCTCTTTCATTCTTTAGATCCCTTGCTAACCTCCACAGACAAACTATTCACAACCTACTAAAATAACCTCACCACCTCCTACTTGTTCTGCATCTATACTACCTTCTCCTCATCAAATATCTACACCTAATTTTTTTAGTAATGTTCACCCCATGAAAACCAGGTCCAAAGCTGGTAATAGCAAACCTAAAATTATAACATCCAAAAGCCCAGAATGGAATGCAGCTATGCAAGCTGAATTTGATGCACTGAAGCAGGAGCTGCATACCTAGTCTATAGTTCCACCCAAACAGAAAAGAATATCATTGGATGTAAGTGAGTGTATAATCCTGATGGCTCTATCTCTGGGCAGAAAGTGACACTAGTAGCTAAAGGTTTCCATCAAGAGGCAGGATTGGATTATGATGAAACCTTCAGCCCCGTAAGGAAACCTTCAACAGTCAAGCTTGTTTTAGCACTTGTACCTCACTAAAACTGGCCTCTAAGGCAACCGGATGTTAAAAATGCCTTTGTGCATGGCTCTCTCGAGGAGGAGGTATACATGCAACTAACCTCCTGGTCTCTCAGACCCTCACCACCTTTCATATATATGCAGGCTTCATAAATTCATTTATAGCCTCAAACAAACTCACAGAGCTTGGTTTGAGTGCTTCACATCTCATCTTCATCAATCTGGTTTCTATTCCTTAGGTGCTGATCCTTCTCTATTCATCAGTTCTGCAGCTCATATCTCTGAATTACATCCAGTCTTTGACATGAAAGACTTAGGCCCCTTACACTATTTGCTTGGCATTCAGTTCTCAGTATTCATCTATCTCAAGATAAATACTTAGCAGATCTTTTGCAGAAATCCAACATGTCCAATTACATTACTCCCCGTTCTACCTCTCCTTTGGCCAAAACTGAGGGCACCACCCTAGAGAATCCCACTTTATATTGTAGAATAGTAAGGGCTTTACATTATCTTACCTTCAAGAAGCCGCATATCACTTTTGTTGTTAGTCTCTTTTTTTTTTTTTCCTCGTTTTCCAATTCATTCAATCATCCCATATCACTTTTGCTGATAATCTCCTTTGCCAATTCAAGCAATCACCCACTGATGTGCATTTTTCTGCAGTCAAACAAATCTTAAGGTACCTAAAAGGTATATTCCATCTTGTGGTCTCTTATACACTCCCAGCTCTCTTTCCTTAACAGCATATGCCATGCTGATTGGTTGCTGATCCTTATGATCAACGCTCTACCACTGGGTTTCTTGTCCACCTTGGTCACAATCCTATTCACTGGGGGTCAAAGAAACAGCTTATTGTCTCTCTTTCTTCAACCAAAGATGAATACCGTGCACTGGTCATTACAAAGCTAGCTTGGCTTCGTATGTTGCTCAAATACCATCAAGTGTTATCTCCCTGAAAAATCTCTCATTCTTTGTGATAATAGCTCAGCTCTTGCACTTGCATCTAATCACATATTTCATCCTCGCACAAAGCACATCGAGATTGACTATCACTTCATTCAAGATCAAGTTATCAGCAATCAGCTCGATGTGGCTAATCCTCCCTCTGATCTTCAGCTTGCTGACCCCTTCACCAAGGGACTTCTCACTGATAAATTCCTTCATTTATGATCCAATATGATGGCCTCTCCCCCATCAGCTTGGGGGGCTGAGCTAAATTAATCACATGGAAATTACTGTAATCGTACGTATAAAGACAGACATAATGTAAATCAAGTGAATAATGAGAAGAGAGCTGAGACTCTGTTTTTTTTTGGCTTCTGTTTGAGTGCGTCACTTTCAGCATACCCAAAAATAATTCTAGTACCTTGATCACAGTGGCATTTTGTTCCGCGGCATTATTAACACTAACGGACCCAGTTGGAGGTAATAAAAAATTCTATTACCTCAAAGGCAACATCTTTGAAGAAGAACGCAAATACCCAATATGAGGTAACAAAATCTCTGAAAAATTCACACCACAAACGGACAATTAAGTGAAGAAAAATAAGAAAGAAAGGAAGTACCTGGGTGGGTTCATACGATGTACAAGCGTCTCAAATTCGAAATCAACCGTAAGGGATGAAAACCAACAATTCATTTGTAAAAGAATCAAAATCCAGCACAATAACAGAGATGGGTTGTTGGATAGAGAGAGAAATGAGATACGCCCCGCTCTGTTCTTCGTTAGATTCTTTGCTCTCTTCTCTAGGTCTCTGGCTGTTCCTAGTGTTTGAATTCTAGTACAGAGAAGGTGCTGGGTGAGGTGGGATTGCGTTTCGGTTGGGTTGATCGGTCGGAACTGACGACTATGGCCATGAAATTTTAACCGAGGGAGGGTAAGACGGAGAATGGAGTGGGTTGACATAAAGGTTAGGATTGTTTGGTACTTGGGATGGAACTGTTCAGTATTCGGATCACACGCTCTCCCGGTTTATTTTGTTTAGCTTACTGATAAAAGCAAAGTGGTCTTTATAATTATTCTAATATTTACATAACACAACAAGGATTTAAATTAATCCAATTTTAATCAACTTTCTTGAAGGGTACAAAATTCACCTCCATTAATTTTTTGGGAGAATTACACCAAGATCTTATGAGATTTATCATTTAATCATTTAAATATCTTTCTTTCAAATATTACATATAAACCCTCTAAAATTTATAAACTTTAAATTTAAAATATTATAATTAAATCCCTTATTAGTTACAGAATTAACGGAATCTAGTACACAATCAATTACCTCAATTAAAGATATAAGATATTGTGTGTATTACAGTTTGACCCTTTTTTTTGTTTTTTTGTTTTATTTTAATAAATAGTATAATTATATACTAATTATGATTTTTTAAATAAAAAATTAGATTTTTATTTTTATTTCAATAAATGACATAATATAACATAAATTTTGATTGTAAACTTTAAAATATTTGATATTCTATCTTTAATTGAAATATTTTTTATTTAGGTATAATATTTTAAACTTGAAGAGTCTAAATATTACAAGTATTTAAATTTAGGGGGTCTGAATATAATTCACTAACGGACATTAACAGTAAGGGTCTAAATGTGTTACGCTCTTACAAACTATAGAGAATTTGTGTATAATATTTCAAAGTCAAGGGTTTAAATGATTAAATGATAAATCTTAGGGAGATTTGAGTGTAATTCTCCTTTATTTTTTTTCTTGCACAAAGTTTTTTTTAAGTTAAATACACTAAAAGTCCTTAAAATATGAGATTTATCTCATTTTGTCCACAATATTTTAATTATATTATTTTGGTTCTTCAAGTATTTAATATATTTTTATGTAGTTTCTCAAGCAAATAACATCCAAATTTGTAACTGTTTTTAATCATAAACTTGTCATGTGATATCTATATATTGACAACAAAATTATTTAGCTAATTCTTGACAAAAACTGTATAATTTAGAAATAGGGAGTGTCATTGAATATATGGCTAGCTACAGGGAGTATGGAAGAAGTTTATCTTTTTCTTTTTAGACGGTTTGAGTCGGCTTATGTTTACCTCAATTAATTTTTTTCTTAGTTTGATCATAAACGAGTCATATCCACCTAGGGGTGCAACTTGGGCGGCTTACCTGAATTCAACCTGAACCCAACCGAGAAAAAACAGAACTTGGGTTGAGGTTTTTAATACTTGAATTGAGTTTAGGTAGAAAAACACCAACCTGAATTGAATTTGGGTAATACTTAGGTTGAGGTATTGGGTTGCCGAGTTCTACTCAAATATATAAATTGGATTTAACTCGAACATATTTAAAAGTAAATATATAAATCAATATAACAAATATTACTTACAAGTTAAAACACTAGGGATTAGTCTTATGTTAAACATTTGACTATTATATCTTTATATTAAACATTGATTTTTATGTTTTAAATACTATGATCTTTATGTTAAATATTTAATTGAAGTTGTTGATTGTTACTTTAGATAAATATTTGATCAAGCTTGAATAAACCCAACTTGAATTTTAACACGAAATCAACCCAAATTACGTAACTCGAACCTAACCCGAATTCTAATATGAAATTTGCCTATATTACTTAACCCGAATTTAACTTGAACCCACCTAAATTAAATTTTCGCAATACTCAAATTGAGTACATCGGATTGAAGTTGAGTTATAATTAAATTTAAAGTTGAGAATTATTTATTTAGGGTTAGACTAGGATTGACTCTCAACCCATTCAACCAATCGAAGTTGCACCCCTCTGTCCATCCCACAACTAAGATGTTCACGAGGAAGAAATTTTTTATGAAAATTACCAAAATTTTGTTGTTGCTACACTTGCACTATCCTTCAAGATTCTATCTGTGTTTTTCTTCTTTTTTTGATTAGGGGTTTCTTGAGTTGATTGTTCCAAAGATGCACTACTTCGTATCTAATGTTTCGTTGAGTACGATGGAAAAATGAAATAATGAAAAGTTGGAGAAATAAATAAAATATCATATTTGGTAAGAAAGAAATATAGGAAGGATGGAAAAATAAATGGATTAACTTTCTTTCCAACTCACCAAAATCAATCCCTTTAAAATCGGAAGGAAAGTGGATGAAAAGTTAATTATTTATATTAAGATGTATCTTATTTGTCTATATATATTTGTATACATTAGTTGGTACCCACGTGCGTTGTACGTGGACCATTTTGAACTATAATTTTAGTTTTTATTTTCTACTTTTTACCGACATTATCTCTATATTTTTAGTTTTATGTATGCATAAATAAATGTGAAGTTACAAAATGTAAAAGGAAGACATCGGATAGTTAATTTGATTACTTATTAGTTGTTTATAATACTTATATTTCAAATATTTTGCTTCTACCATGGTTGTGGGCAATACTTATCAGAATTTCTATTAGGAATATAAAGTTTCTCACCCCAAATTGCCTTCAAATTGAAAAAAATAATAATCTTACACTAAATGCCTGACAATTGAAGACAAAAAAATGGGTTAAAACTCAGGAGAAATGAGTAAAAATATAATTAAGTAGAATTTGCATATAATTGTAAAAATTAATCTCAGACATCAAGATCATGGCAAATCAATTTTTTAAATTAAAATTAAGAAGTAAATAAATAAAAAATTGAATCTAAACAATAAATAAAACACATCACATTATCTTAAAGTCTTAGATTACACTCAGATTAGATCATCAAAGTAGTAATTGATAGTAAGATAATATCAAATGAAACTAAGTATTGATACAAAAAAAGAATTACATAAGCAACAAATAATTATTTCATTTTGAGTTCATCATTTTCAATATCGTTTACGAGTCTTATTTTCATAAGTTTCATGATAACTTGTAAAAAAAAAAATAAAAGCAAAAGATAAAATTGATGGAGCTATGAAAGTTATAGAGAAGAACAAAAATACCAGTAGTTTTTTATTATTTAAAAAGATAATTTTGTTCTACTGTTTGAAAAGTGAGGGTTTGAAAGAAAAGCATGTTATTCTTATATTGTTTTTTAATTTTCTCCAATGTTGTGAATATGAAAGGCCTTCCAATGAGTAAACTTATGTATTCATTGCACTTGTAATTACAAATATTTATTTTTGTGCAATTACAAATATTTATTTTTAGGAAGGGAAGGGTGTAAGAGTTAAAGTGACAAGTAGGATATAATACTCTTTATATGACTAAGTAAGGGTAGAATAGAAAATCAAAAAATTTTCTCATTAGCTTCCCTTTATTAGTAGTATAAATACATATATTATGTATATATTAATTTTATATAAAAATATAATGATAAAATATGTATTTAAATATCTATTTAAAAAATTTTACAAATAAAAATATATATATATTTTTTTCCGTTTTAAGGGTGAAATTTGTTGACTCAACACGATAATAAGACTCGAACTCGACACTAATTTTGTGACATGAACGTGATTATAACTTGATACAAACTTGAAAATGACAAGAAATATAAACATCTCATATCCAGTTCAATCCGTTAAACTCAAAATTGACACCATTAACCCGTTTATTTAAAAATAAAAATTTTCTCAATTTTTTCGTTTGTATGATAACATGATGTTTAACATGAATTCAATTAGGTGAAAATAGAATATTAATGATAAATTTTTTATTCAAAGTTTATGTGGGTCAACACAAATACGAATACGAATACAAATACGAACACGAACACGACACAAAAATAAACAGATCAACTCGACACGACACAATTAGTTAAATGAATTGAATTAAATTTGACTAATGTTCAACATAAATTATCAAGGACTCAACACGAATATGATACGACACGACTCAATTATCACCTCTAATCTTAACCGGTACAAAAAAAATAATAAGCGTTTTTATTTTTCGTCAATTCTACCGAACTTGACACCTCTACGCGATTCCAGAAACTACTGCTGCATAACCGACTTGTTAAAAATTACAAATTATGTCTTTAACAAAATCCACCCCACGCTACCCATCGCAAACCACCAGCAGCAAACCTTCCTCGTAGCCATCGTCGCACAAAGCAGCAGATCTGATCATCACTGGTGTCTTCTTAATCATCCACCTAGCAAAGGCCGCATCTTTTGGCCTGTCAACTTATTAATAGATGGAGAGAGGAAGGGGAAGTAGGGTGTCGCGTGGGATGCTTCCACTGCTGGCTCTGCACGCTGTGAGTGAGTATTGCAGGCTTGACAGAAAACCGCCGGTTACGGCCGGACTTCTTGCTGCTAACACTCTGATTTATTTGAGGCCCAGTTTTCTCGAATCTATTCTCCCTACCTTGGATGAGGTTTGGTTCAATCCCCACCTAATCCTCAAGGTACCCCTTCTATTCCTTCTTTTTCATTCTCTCTCTCCCCCCGTGCTTCTGCTGAGAAATTATGAAATATGTCTTTGATTAATTATACAGGTTTTGGGCATTCAAGGGTTTGATCTATTCTTGTTGCCATTTGGGGGGTTTGTAGAATTTAGGGGAAAAACCCTATGTCTATGTAGCCGATTAATTCTCTCCAATTACCGGAATGATTCTGTCATTTCTTGTTATGTTGCCTGCAGAAGCAATGTAAATATGAGTTTTGAATGCGCCTTTTTAATTGGTTCCTCTAATGTCTCAGCCTCTAGTTAGGGAATCAAGACAGTGCATCTTCATTGCTGAATTTCTACTTTTTTTTCCCAGACCAAGCTCTTGGATTTTGATTTAAAGCAACTCCAGGAATCTGTGGCTAGGATTCAAATTGCTGAATTCCCTGCAAGATGCATGTTATTTCAATGTAAACCAGTGGTGTAGTGTTACTGTGGTGTAAAATACATATGTTTTCCCCAAGCTTAAAGTTTAGACAGCATGCACATTGCTACTTGACTTGTGTGAAACATTTACAGCCAGATTCCACCTTCTGTCATACCGCTAGGCCTCGTCAATTAGAACAGGACGTGATGAAAGAGTTCAAATGATTGAGTAAAACCTAAACTTGCCGTTAATATAAGAATAAGTTTTCAAACCTCTTAGTTAGAAGAACATCTCCCTGCTTTTAGGCCTTAAAACATGTGAATATATATAAGGTGATGGTTTCCAGGTAAGTTTGGGATTTCTTTTTTGCACTTCCAAATGTAGTGCATTCTATAAGTTTAGTCTTTGCATGGCTCAATTTAGTCCATTCTATATGTGTTTTTCTGGTAAGACAACCATTTAGTCTTCCAATGCTAGCATCTGTTACTCCTTTAAAACCCTAGTTAACCTTTCATGTAACCATCATTGTTAGTATTGTACCATACATGATATGTATTGTACGGTATGTTATAGTATACAAGGAAAATAATACAAATCGTACTTATGTATAGCTTTTACTTTGTATCGTACGTTATAGTCATTATGTTGTGTATCACACAATACATCCAATACGCAGAGCTTGTTTTTTATTTTTGGTTTTTGTCAATTAAACAACGTCGTTGCACCTGGGGATTTATTTTTTTCAGCCCTAGACAGTGAAACAATGTTGTTTCACTATCTAGGGGTTAAAGAAAATAAAGCCCCTCACTTGGTTCGAACAAAGACAAAAACCCAGGGCTCTGTGAGTGGGTCTGTTTCGGAATCCCCTCTCATCTACTTTGAAAATCCATTGCACAGCTTCTGCTTCTTCAAAAATCTTCTTCGAATATCTTCTCCAAGCCTCTGCAACTGCTGCAATCATCTTCATTCATGTTTCTACAAAGACTTCAACTAAAACCCTTAGTTGCAAACTGAAACCCTCAGCCCTCAAGTCTTCTTCTTCATCCTTTGGTTTTACTAGTTTCAGCTTTCTCTTGTTCTGCGACTCTGGTATATGCCTGCAACTCGCATGTAAAGTTTGAGAAATGTCTTCTGCTCTCTTGCGTCTAGCTCCAACACAAATCCAAAATTCTAAATGTAAGTACTAATTGAACTTGAAGATGAGGATGGGGATAAACACATGCAAGAAGCTGAAAAGGATGAAGGAAGTGAAAAGACTTGTTGGCATCCAATAGCAATGATGATGATGATGCATTTCCAATTGAAATTGGAGATTGAGTTGAAAATGGAATGGAATCAATAAGAATAAATTGTTTTGGATGTTAGAAGCTAGAACCAGAGGTTTTCGAATTTTGATATTAATGAACTTTGTTGGAGACTTAAATAGGTGGTGAATATTAATGAAGTGAAATGTTATTATAACTTTTTTTCAAAGGGATATATATTTTATTAATATATTGTTTAAAATTGTCTGTACTTTACGATACGCAATATGTTACTATAGACAATACTCTATTTTTGAAAAACGATACGTCATCCGATACACGTTTTCATAACCATGCATGTAAGCCAATGGAAGATATGGGATACTTAGGTGGATGCGACCCTGATTTTCCTTAGGCCTTGGTATAAATTACAAAATAGGGAAATGCAATTTTGTCACAAACCTTTCATCCTGTGTAAACAATTCTCTACGGAAAATTCTCAAAATGTTAAACTCAAAAAGCCTTTAGAAAGGCACAGTTAAAGTTAGAAACCACCAAAATCTGCATCTATCACAAGGAATTAGGATGATACCTTAGAAAGCCTTGGGCACAGCCATAAATGGAACTGTGGCGTGGTTCAAACATCTAGAAGGGGCCCTAAAGAGGACCTCGAGAAACACCCAGTAAAAGGAAATGGACGTGGCCCCGTGTAGTCTTGAGTCAGGCATTGTTCCTTGGGCTGGAACTAATGCCGAGAGTTTACCCGCTAAGGAAATAGGCTGACTTATGACAAAATTGCCATGAATTGTTTCGAAAAAAAAGTTGTGGAAAAGACCTTGCTTGGTCATATGGGACACCCTTGTATCAGGCTCAAAACCTTATTCACATCGGGATCTTTGGGGGCACACAGTTTGGTGGTTTGAGTTAGCTGTAGTAAGTTGCCTAGCTGGTTAGCAAGATTAGGCTTCCTCCTAGCCGAGCAACTCATGTGTGACTGACTGTTGTATAAATAAGGAACATTCTTTTATGAATGTTGTTTGGCTCCTGCTGAGCCAATCCAGTGTCATGAGAAACATGTTGTGCATTGCTCAGAGCATCATCCACTGAAGCCTCTAATGTGGCGGAAAAGGGCCGTGTTACCTCGGCCTGTCCTCCCCGGTTATTGAGCTGCTTGGCTCCTCGGTGATTAAGCTGCTTGGATATTGCTTTGAAGAGTGACTATGAGACTATTTCTAATTTCTTGGACCCCCCACCCCCACCCACCCACTCTTAAAGAAAACCCAAAACAACTTTCATGATTTAGAGGAAAGATTATCACGGTTATGAAATTATGGGTTTTACAAGGTTCAAGTTATTGTTTTTTCTTTTGTCGGACTGAGTTGGCAGGGTGTGTGTGCCCACTTTTTAGGTCACTTAGAAGAACTTCACCCACGATGGTACCTCTCCACAGATGTGCCACTTTCCTACGGGCTTGAGCAGAGCATGGCGCTACACTGCATCATTATGATTTTCATTTTCTCTTAGTTTTTTAGGAGTTAAATTGGATTATGGTTTCAATAGACTCGGGCAAATAAGTTCATGTGATCTATACTTGCCCTCTCTTGTCTAAAAGTGGTGCTTGTGTTGTTACAACCCATTATAGGTAGTCTTTTTTTTATTTTTTTTCCAGTTTAGTTTTGCATTTTGTTTGATGGACTTATTTCTCATCACATTAGTCTCGTCTGAGTGCTAGTGAGATGACTTGACTATTGTAATTGGAGTATTGTTATTGGGACATAAAATGTTGACTTAATGATGTGGTAGGTGACATAGTCTAATAGTATTATTGTAACTGTAACTGTTGGACATCTTTATTGGGATCATATCAATGGACACATCATTAGGAAATGGTATTAGATCATATTATCATAGTTGTTAGTATCGTACGATACGTTACGATATAGGCCTAAAATGATACGGATCGTAGTTATTTATCGTTTTTGTGTTGTATCGTCCGATACACCATACGTGCAAATTTTTTTTTTTTGAAACGATGTCGTTTTGTGCCAAGTTTTTATTTTTTTAATCCCTATAACCATTGAAACGACGTCGTTTCGGTGGCTAGGGTTGCAAAAAAAAATAAAATCCCTCATTTCTCATATTCATCATTTGCTCATCGCTGGTTAGAGCCTCAGAGGTCTCTGGTTTTTTCCTTTAGCCATCGACGACGAGTGTGGGTGATAGCTGTGGGATTTCGCTGTGGGTGATCAACTGTGAGTTTGAGATTTCGACTGTGGGTGATCGGTGATCGCTGGTCTTCGAAGCTGCCTTCATCAAAGCTGCATCTCTTTCATCTAAGCTGCCTCCATCAAAGCCCAGGTTCCATTGAAGCTCTCTTCTTCCTTCTCCCGGTACTCCATTGAAGCTCCTTTCTTCTTTCCAGTCTCCATCGACCTGTGGTCCTGTGCAGTAAGAAATGATGTTAATTTATTTATAAAGTCAAATATATATATATTTTTTTTTTGTATAAAAATTTTTGAATCTTGATTAATTTTAAACAGTGGTGGAATTAGTGAACTATGGTTGTGAACTTTGCATTATAATAGTAGTGGATTATGTTGATGATTTGAATAGTTGGTGGAGTATTAATGAAATGCTATGTTTTTATGAGTGTATGATTTTTTTTCAAAGGCATTTATATTTTTTTATTATTTATTTAAAATTGTACCGTATCTTACGATACATGATTTTTAAAATACGATACGCCTTCTAATACACGATTTGATAACTATGCATATTATTAGGTACGAGAAGTATTATCTCCGTTATATGTATTTTTGCCCTTGTGTGATCATATTTTTTTTTGCCTTGTGTTTGAGCAGCACAGGGATTTAAAGCGATTCTTTTTATCAGCTTTCTACCACATGGGTGAATCTCACCTGGTCTACAACATGATGTCACTTCTATGGAAGGGGATCCAGTTAGAGACTTCAATGGGGAGTGTTAAATTTGCATCTATGGTTGCTGCCCTACTTGGTATGTCTCAGGGCATCACGCTGTTATTAGCCAAATCTCTTTTACTGCTTTTTGACCATGAGAGAGCTTACTACCATGAATATTCCGTCGGATTTTCCGGTGTTCTATTTGCCATGAAAGTAGTGGTCAATTCCCAATCAGATAACTACACTTCTGTCCATGGACTTGTGCTACCATCACGTCATGCTGCTTGGGCTGAACTGATTCTCATCCAAATGTTTGTACCTGGTGTTTCTTTTCTTGGTCACCTTGGTGGAATACTTGCTGGCATTCTCTATCTACATTTGAAAGCTTCCTATTCGGGGTCAAACCCTCTAACTACAATCATAAGACGTTTTACAAGGATACTGAGCTGGCCTGTAAGACTTGTGTGGGGCATTTGTCGATTCCAGCGACTGCAAATTTTTGGCAGGGGAACTGTTGGTGGGAGTCAGGCTAGAAGTGCAACTGGCGTGTGGAGATGCCAAGCATGTACATTTGACAACTCTGGTTGGTTAAATGTGTGTGAGATGTGTGGGACAGACCGTTTTGATGATGGACTGTCGTCCCTTGGATCGTCAAATCAGACTCACGACCTTCCTGTGGAAGAATTACGGCGTCGCAGAGTTCAAAGATTCGGTAGATGATAAAAAATTTACCATTTTTATAGGTATTTTTACTACTGTTAGCTCAGCTCTCCAACTATTACACCCGATCTTTCACTTCTCTGCACAGTGCACACATGGCCTAATAATGCACAAACTTGTGATGTCGAAAATTCGGTTGCCTCCGCGTCAAGCGAACTAGACCAAGATTTCCTAGAAAAAGAAGTCGGAAATCAGAGGAGCTCGAGTAAAAACTGTGTAAAGCTTGATTGCATATTTGGGGGTATCAACTATAGTTGTATTTATAAGAGTATTTAGTGATAAAATTGCGCTAGAACTGGACTCTAGCCCATTGAACCTCGGTCTAATTAAAATTAGACTATTATGAATTTGAACTTGAATGGGTTTTATACTTTTCAGGGTCGTTTGATTGTTGTATTATAGAAGGTATTAGAGAGTTTTACATGATTAAAATATTTCAATTTGGCCTTATACAATATCTGGATGTTAAAAGTCACTTGATATTGTGTATGCTATTAAATTAAATACATATATATACCATATATTTTTAGTACCTTTACTTGTACTATTAAGCCTATATATATATTTTTTTGGGGTTAGTCTATTAAGCCTATTTTAATGCCACTTGAGAGGTGGTATTGTAATGTAGTCAAAAAGTATTATAATTCAATTTTACTATTTTGTCTCAAAACTACTATAGTTTAATATCACCCCAAGAAATTCAATGAACAATATCAGAAAACCCTAGCTACAGAAAATTGAAACAACTCAAAATTTCCAGTGGATTCCAGTATGGGGCATTTCAAATTTAAGAATCCCAGCCACTAGAATTTAAAAAATTATCAGATTTGAATAACTAATTATCAGGTTTTATGAATATGAAACTACCACAAGAGACCATAGCAACAAATATAATGATTTGAGTATTGGGCCTTCAAGATTGACGAGCATAACAAGTACAAATCCTGAACAATTCAATTTAAGTTGTCTCACATGACACTTGAATAAGAACAGAGTCATAGACGCCTTTCCAAAAATAAACAAACTAAATTACATTGCAGACTTACTATAAATCAGTGGTTGGTCTTGAGGGAGAAGACAAAAAAGGCTTGGGAGGAATTTGCAAGGAGTCTAAGCTCCCTTCCAACATTTCCACAACCCTAGTCATCGCTGGTCTATTTGAGGGATCAGTTTGTATGCACCACAAGCTCACTATTATCATCTTCTTAGCAGTCATATTTTCCTCATCATTCATGATGCTACACAATCCAAGTTCTCCATCTTGTTCAAGTTGTTGGTATATCCAATGTGGAAAATATATTTCACTGGTTTTATCAACAACCACCTCAATATTTTTTCTCCCTCCAACCATTTCTAGAACCATCATTCCGTAGCTATAAACATCTGACTTGTGAGAGACACCTCCAATGTTTCTACAAACTATTTCTGGAGCAATATACCCAATTGTCCCTCTTGGAGTTAGCATTGAGATGGTGCTCTCTTTTCTAGGGCATAGTTTAGCAAGGCCAAAGTCAGAGATCTTTGGGCTGAAATCTTCATCTAGAAGAATGTTATGAGGCTTTATGTCAAAATGCAAGATTCGTGTGTTGCAACCACGATGTAAGTACTCAAGTCCTCGAGCAATGCCTATTGCAATTTGGTACAACTTTTCCCATCCCAGGTGACGTTCTGTTGAGGAACTTCCATCATATATGAATTTCTCAAGAGACCCATTAGGCATAAACTCATAGATGAGAGCCCTTTTACGACCCTCAAAGCAAAAACCCAAGAGAGTTACAATGTTAACATGTGAAGTCTTACTAATACTTGCAACCTCATTAATGAATTCTTCTCCAGAACCTTTTAATTCACTTAAAACCTTCACTGCCACCAGGCTGCCATCATGTAACTTCCCTTTGTAAACAGAGGCAAAGCCTCCTTGACCTAGTTTAACTTTGAAGGAGTTGGTCATCTTCTTAACGTCAGAATAACAGTACCTTTTCAGAGCTATAGATCCGCAACTCTTCAAAAAAACTTTTACATTTTTAAATTTATCTGTTTTGCTCAGTGCAAATTTTCTTCTGAAGCAGAAGACTGTAGCTACTAAAATGCCAATCCCAACAGCAAAAGCGACTGCAATCACTGAAAGGAGAAAATACCATTATGCAGTACAAGATCAAAAGTATAATTAATTTTCCAGTTTCAAAACTCCATGATGGCGCATATACAAAGAATGTTCATAGTCCCCCAAAATCAAACAACCAATCCCTTCCCTTTTTGGCTTTTCATACTCATTCCTCGGAGCCCCTAACTGATCCCAACAATAACACATACAAACAAACACACACAAAAAAAAGAAAATGTTAACATTGTCGTCTGCTGATTTCTATCTGATTTTTTTTTCCTGATTGTTCTAATTGTCACCTTAGGGGATATAAATATATTGAGTGCTATTTCCGTACCATGTCTGGAACCATATTCAAACTTCAATAGATAAAAGTTCGAACCCTTTAGATTTTTCCTTAACTTGTGGTCATATGCAGGTTTAGTTGCTCTCCACTCACATTTCGTCCAGGTTAGAGTAGGCCTAGTCCCCTAGATTTGTACAATCTATTATGATATCTATATATTGTTTCAATGTTTCCACCATGCCAACTGACACAAGTGAAAGAACACATGAAGGTATCTCTCCCTCTGCATGTATTAGTTCACATTTTGGCGTTTATTCTTTTTAACCTCGTGTAGAAAACTAAATCCAAAAAACATATGTTTTTTCTTTCTTTCCTTTTCATGTCTATCTGGCTTGGTCTTAGATTTGCTGAAATCGGATGATAGAGAACATAAAACTAGAAAAGCTCTACTTAAGAAAGACGATATAAAGTATGGAAAAAGAATATTACCCGCGACAGGAATTGATTTCAAGTGGGTTTTTCCTGCAATCAATTTCAGTCCGAACAAAATTATTTCAGCATTTCATAAGAATAAAAGTGAGGTAATTTACTTTGCATGGTCGAATTTTTTCACTAGATAAGCAAACATTTAAAACATGTCCAACTTATAAAACAACCCAAACTGATCAGGGTTGTGCAGATAAATTTTTGTTTTTTGGGATCGGATGTGGACTAGCAAAGAGAGCAGCATGCAAATGTGCATATGCAAAAACCATTCTCGCATTCGGGTGAGTGAATAAGAAGCTTTCTGACACAGAATAATAACCGAAGCGCGTCAGACTAAACCTTGACCTTGCGTTTGGGATGAGTCTTAGTTTTGAATTGAACCTGATGATGTATAAAATAATCTCGTGCAAGATCAACAGTCGAATGTGTGATAAAGTATAATTAATGGACAATTAATAGAACAATCAATAAAAATAATGTAAATATCGAGTCAACACACAAATATATATTAGTTCGATTCGGATGACCTACTCCACACCAGGAAACGACAATAGTGGCCGGAGAACCTTTATTGATAAAGTATGGTGATCGAGAGAGAGAGCAATAGTTAGCTTTGAGAGGGATACAATAGTTATGAGAGAGAAATTATGTGTGTGTAGGGAAGTGTAAAGAGATCTCAAGAGGTATTTAGAGGTATAAAGTGGTGTCATCTCATGTAGAAAAAACTTACAATTTATAGGCACAGAATCTTAATTAAGACGGTGACGTGAGGACAAAGACACTAATTCTCTGGATCGCTAACTTTATTTGCCCACCAATTTGACTTAATGGACTCTTTCCTTCACAAATATCTTCATAAATCTTAATATATTAGTTTCCTTTGGGTCTTCTATTCGACTTGTTGACTAACCTAAACAATTATTCCTCGAGCCATGAAGAAAATATGTTAACTTAAGATTTGCTTAAGCTTGAATAATCATGATGATCCTTGCATTATATATGAAACTCTAATTAATTCTAAGGTTAATTCAATTGCTAATTTAGACGAGTTGTAAATTTAAACGTCCTGAATTCAAATTTTAATAAATTTTTGAGATCAGATCATGAGAATGTTCCTGCGTAAATAACTTGTCTTTAATTAAACTGGGGAGTAAATTAGTCGAGTTGTGCGTCAGTTGACCCAAATACTCCTTACCGTTAAACTAAACAAAAATGAAACTCAAAAACTAATTAATTGAGCTTAATCTATTTAATCTCCCTCGATTCTCATAAAATTCCATTGATTAAGAGATTAAAGGCACAATCCTTACTAACGACAAAATTAAAAAAAAAAAAAAACTACCCTTAAAAGGAAATTGTTGATACTTAAAGTGAGACCATTGACATTCAAAAACTCTAAAATCTCAATCACAATCCTGTATTGATATAATTTGTCCACATTCATATATTTGATTATATATTTTAAACCAAATTTTCAACTTTAGTATCATAGCTTATGGTTTTTAAACTTTTCCGGAGTTTACATTCAATCCACATAATAAAGGATAAAACCCAACTAAGGCCCGTAAAATGTCCATTTAGGCCGGTTGGTTGACTAGTCAGCTAAAAGAGGAACATGCTAACAGCAGTAAGGAGAATTGATTAGTGTATAAACCCTGATTTTGAGGTGATGAAGCTAAGCACTAGGAGTTGAAGGGTTGGACTAGAAAACAAGGATAGGAACTAATGGTGCACGGTAGAGTATGATCAGACAGGACTTTTAACACCCCATGGTACTTGAGGGTGTTTTCTAAAATGTTCACATAGGGCTCAGAAACAGACCCAAGCAACTCCACTGCCTTTACAAGGGTGGTTCAAGATCTGGTGTTTTCAACTCGGAAGGCACAGGGACGTATCGACTACAATATCATGGAACTAAATCTAATGAATAAAAGAAGAAGTTGGACATAGTAAATGATGGATTCAGGTATCACAGCGTCGGAATGCTGATACTTTGAGTAGATGATGATGATTCATACGAGTTGACTAAAATAGTTTTGTGTCAATTACAAGTCGAGTGAAACTCGTGGTATACACAGTGCAGAGTAGTTTTGGAACAAAAAAGTGCAGATTTGTGTCAGACACAAGTTGAGTCTCTAAACCATTCCCCAAACATCAAAATTGCCATCCTTCCAAGTCAAGATGCAAATTAACTTGGTCTAATTGGATTGCATACTATCTACACCCATAGATGCAATCCTCAAAACCAGGCCAAGTTCTGGCAAATTCCAGGGCCTGTGTTTCCAAGTCCGAGAACTTGAAAATCAGATGCCCTCCAATTTGATCTACAATACAATGTTGTCTATATGGCATAAGAAGTTCGAGGACTAGACCAATGTCCAGCCAACAATCTGAACTGATCCTGTGCCTTAGCAGCTTAACTTTCAACTAATTCCTACTTGAACTCAAAATAAGACTAACCACAAGATTAGAGACACATACCCTTTCCAGTTTGATCCGTATTACGACAGGTGCGAGCATATGATCCATCTAAACAATAGCAAGCAAAGGATGTGTTGCTTGAGTCAGACCCACATCGCCCACCAGAATCGTTGCACTGGGTGCAGTACATATTATTCGCATCCCACTGCAACTGAAAACCACCGTCAAGAGCTGCTGTTAGATTATTTGTCGTAGCCGAAAGGCTTGACAATATCTCAGTCGAGGTCTCATTAACCGGAACAATAACATTGCTATTGCAGGTAATTGTGGTATTGTTGATGACAAAGTTGGGTGTTTCTCCCATTGTGAAATAACTAGAACTGGGGGTGTCGTTCACATTGCAAAGAAATTGATTTTTCAAGGGTACTGGAAATCTGGTGCACCCGTAATGAAGACTGATGTTCCGCTGGCGGATTGAATAGCCAAAGATGTTGAAATCCATGGTGGTGTTGTAAAGAAAGATTGGACAAATATTGTTCCACAGATCCTGTCTAGCAACTGTGAGAGTTTGCGTTTTGTTATCGATAGCCAGGACTCGGAAATCCATTGACAGGATTGTGATTATGGGGGCATCACCTTGGCAATTCAGCCTGAAATGCGGGTGGCCGCAGTATGGTAGCCGGTTTTGTCCCCAGAAAGGATAACCGATGCCCTGAATGTTCGCACACTCAGACAACTCACCACAGGCTGTATATTGCTCGTTGTCTTGACACAGAAACATAGGAAGGTGGCTGAAAATAGAGATTCCGATCATGATCATGAAGAGATTGGGATGCATTTTTGATTTTGAGAGAGAGAGAGAAAGAGAGAGAGATGACTTTAGACGAATTTGGTGCAATCCAAGTAAAATTTGGGGATGGAGATCTGAAATTGAAGGAGATGAAAAAGTCTTGTTTTCCCATGAATGACGATGATATAAGAGGAAGAAAATGATCTTTGACTGCTAAGCCACCTTGTAAAACATTTCTAAGAGAAGCTTCTACTGGAAATTGAAAAAATAGCTGACCAAGTTTAAATAGAATGCATGCCGCCCCTACCGAAAATCTAAATTCATAGTCTGACCATGTTTGTAGAACACGAAACTTGATAAAATAACAGCAAATTATCCTGAAAATTTTTGTGAAATATATATCGAAAAAATATTTGGAAGACATAACCACCTAAAAGTTTAAGTCTATAAGTTTACATTCAGACGCATTTCAATTCTTGTTCTATCTGATGTAAGATTTTCACACATGTAGTAGTTTCTTAAGTTAATTCTCTAAGTTGTTTCTAAGACAAAGTATCACCAATATTTTAAAAGGATTCACACGGTGGACTCTGACGACGTATTAAAGCATTCACCAAAAAGAAAACAGAAAAGCAGAGGATGTATTAGTTACACCAATCAAATAGTTGTGAAGGATGAAACTTATAGGAGCCAAACGGGGTGAATTTTCCAGGCTGATATGGAAATGTCAAGGAAATAAATGGTGGGTGCAGTGAAGTCAGGCTAGTTGACTAATGAACCAAAGCAACAAAGTCCATCTTCAGAGACAACAAAATCTGTCTATGGAAGCTAACAAGTGGACCCCAAGTATGAATGTTTCAACACCCTTGCTGCACCTTCATCACAATAACATTAAGTTTCATGACAAGGAAATGCAACCGAAGACCTGCGAACCTAATATGAAATGGGCATGGAATTGATGGGTTTAGGTTTTAACCATAGCGGTTAGGAGTAATAAACAAAAATAAATTCGTCAAATAATGAATTAATATAAATTTGGTTGAGCACGTCATGAATCAAACTAAACATAATTTATGAATGACCTTGACTAAACACGATTAGAAATGTTAGGTATGATTAAAGTAATTTTGGAACTAGAAGACTTAGCTCAATTTCTCTACACCTTACTCTTTAGGTAAGTACAAGGGAGAAAAAAGAGAATGGTGGCCACCAAAGTAGGTAACCAGGATTATGTACCTTTTAGCAGTACCATGTCATAAGTATTACCCTGTTTCCAGCATTCATATTGGGTCTCAATAGGTCATAAGCTTAAGTTCTGAATACACAACCAAAATAGTCATGGACAGAACCATGCTGTGGCCATGGGAGGCCATGGCTCTTCTCGGGTGGCCCGATTACCCGACGATATTACCCTATTACGGACTCGGTCCGTCTCCGACTATATTGCCTTCTTAATTTTCAGCCCACAATATGTTATGGCTCTTGCACATGAGCTAAATAAATCATAATATCTTAGGGATTCCTAGCCTCATGGCCTGTGTGTTGTAGTCAAAGCCAGATGAATTTTGCTTGTAGTGTCAAGTATAACTGAAAGCAGACATACCTGGCCTAGTCAGACATGTGTTTGAGTATGGTTGATCATGGCAAAAGCAAGCGAATTGATTTTCGGTTCGATTATATCCACATTCCCCGCCCGATTCAACACATTTGCTGCATTGGTCACTCTCATTCCACTGCAATTCAAAACCCCCATCTATTACTGTACCAAGATTCGTAAAATTGTCCTCCAGAGCTCTAGCACTCCCTTCAAAAACCGGAACAATGACAGTATCATTGCAGCTCATCCCCCAGCGTGGATCGATCGTTATATTTGTTGTCACATAGAACAGGTTGGAGTTAGTACTGTTTACGCCACAGTCATACTTACTAGAATTGCCTAAAATAGGTACTGAGTTGTAAGTGCAACCATAGAACAATGTCAAGTTCCGAAGCCCAAAAGCATAGCTGAAGACGTGGACTCGAGGCTTGTGTTAACCAAACGTGCAGGACATATGTTGTTCCAGAAATCATCTCTAACGACTATGAGGTTATGTAATTGGGAAGCGATAGCGAGAACTCGATACTTTTCTGACGTGACAGTGATCAGGGGTACGTTATCATGGCACTCGAGCTCAAATCTTGGTTTTCCACAGTAATCTGCACGATTCGCTTCCCAGAAGGGATATTTGATGCTGCTGATGCCTCCACATGAAAAATTTTCCCCACAGTTTTCGTATCGGGCTTCGTTAGCGCATAGAAACGTCGGGGTTATCATAGAAATCAATATGATTGTCAGGATGAAGTGAAGGCAAGATGGTGAAGGAAAGAAGTGCATTTTGAGGAATGTTCAGATCCTGATAGAATGAAAATTGAGCTGACAGACGAAATGAGGCAACTTTGCAAAAATTTTGGGTATCTTTGGAGATGGACGTTGAAAAGTAGTATTGAAAAACGTATTTCCGATAACAATTTTTAAAAAGTATGTTCCGGTGTCTAGGACATTGGGAGTGCCGGCCGATCAGAATACAAAAAAAATAATGATAGATTGATTTAAAAATTAGACTCGATAATCTCAATAATTGAATAGATAATGAGTCCGAATAAATACTGAGATCTACAGTGAA